GTATTGTCAGGGGCAAGAGAAACACAATATGTTATTCATGAAAATTTAAAAATGGCTTTCAATTTGTCAGTTTTTTATCATTAGCCCCCTAGGAGGGAAAATAATTTTTAAAATAAAGGAAAAATAATAAAAGAATAAGGTGTATAATTTGTAATATAGAAAGTTGATCATTTGATATTAAATCAATGTTACTTTCAACAAGAAAAAAAATAGTCTGCATGGAATACAAAGAATTAAAGAGCTAACAGAAGATATCTAAGTAAGAAAACAATTAAAAAATGTAGATTATGATTTCTACTTCCAGTAATAGCATGCCAGATGATTATACCAAAATTCTGAAGGCATCTAAAACAGCTAGATGAAAAAAATTTTTTAATTTCTTAAACACTGAAGAACTAACTAATAAGATATGGAAGAACTATTGAACCAAAATCTTGATGGCAAAAACCGACAAAGAGATAAACTCAGCATTTGCAGTTGCTTTGCCTTAAAGGTGTTTGACAGTCTAGAAGAACCCAATGGGAAAATGTGGTTTTGGTGGCAGAAAACATCAAGAGAACAAAATTCAAAGCTCTGGGCCTATGTATATACAAAGCTTAGTTTTACTAAACAATACTTAAGACACATTTATCCTAGGACTCCAAGGGCTACATCTTCAGGATAAGGATGAACCTGAGATAAACCAGCTATTGAGATTTACATCACCAAAATAGTCCAGAACTTCAGTTACAGGAGTCCTAGGCTGATCATGCCCTAAACAGTCTTCTCACTGAACCATCCCAGGCCTCATTTTTAAAACAAGTAAGTTTTAAAATGTCATGACTAGCACCTAGTCATGAGTGAGAAGCATGAGAAACTATTGCTAACAGAAACAAACCCACAAGCATTCCAGATATTATAACTATTACATCTAGACTATATGTTTATTATATTGAAGAAGTTTTAATTTGGTGCTTGAAAATATTTTCAAGGAACAAAAAGATATAAAAAGTGAAACTGACAAATTTAAAACAATCAAACAATTTCTAGAAATAAAGTAACTGAAATTAGGAGCTCAACTGATGAGTTTAATAATAAATCAGAAGCAGGTGAAATGAGATTCAATGACCTAGAAGGCAAATTAGAAGCCATTATCTAGAATGTGGCATAGTAAAACAAAAATATGGTAAAAAAAAAAAAGAAAAAAGACACTGAGAATACAGTGAGAACAAAAGGCATGCTGAAGCAAAACAAACAACACACACCAAACGCAATTTCCCAAAAGGCAATTCAGTAGGTAAAACAGAAAAGCAGACAGTCATAGCCATCTGAAGAACTGACACAAGGGGCTCTTCTCTATTTAGCTTACTTGGAACTCAGGCTAGAAAAGTGGGCAACACTCAAAAATGCTGCAAGCCTCAGATGCCTGGGGCCAACGTTTACAGTTGAAAAATTCATTAACTTGTACACTAAAAAATGGTTAAAATGGTAAATTTCATGCTATATATTTCACCACAATAATTCAAAAATGAAAAGGAAGAGAAGAGGGTTAGGGGAAGGAGGCAGAGGGATAGGAGGGACTTAACTAGATTTTTTGAAACTTTAGAGGAAGAAACACAAAGATTCGGGAAGGATGGAAAAAAGGAGTGACAGAAAAACCACAGGGGAAGATAAGCCAAGGGACTGGCTACAGGTGCTTGGACTGAATACCAGGAGCCACTAGGGACAGAGAAACATGTACCATGTTGTCAGCACTCATGCTTCCTTAGCATTCAGTCTTAACATGCTTTCACCTCTGCCTATGAAGTTTTCTAATAATTTTAAAGCCTTGCAGTATACTATTCTGTCTTTTCTTTCAATTTCCAATCTAATCAATTTCTGCTGTATTGGGGAAGCTATTTTTGTTAGGCTATAAAGACTTCATCATGCCTCTTATAATTATTACAGAATATCCACACAATGGAATATTACTCAGCAATAAAAAATTATTGATATACACAATAATGATGAATCTTAAAAACCTTATCCTGAGAGAAAGAAATCAGACATACACATAAATACTGTATAATTCTATTTATATGACATTTTAGAATAGCAGAAAATAATTTATAATGGTACAAATAAGATTCAGAGCACTGAAAAGGGGCACGAGGGAACTTTCTGTGATGACAGAAATGTTCTATCTTGGGGTGTGAATTACACTAATATATGCATTTGTCTAAACTGACCCAGTTCCACACTGAAAATATGAGTATTCACTGTATGTAAATTATACACCATAAAAAAATTTAAACTATAATAGAATTTCCCCAGTACCATTCAGCAGGACCTCTAATCTATTACGTACAGGAAACTTAATAGTTTCCTCTTAATTTTTAGTTTTTATTCACTTTTAGTGAAAACAGAACCAAGTGGTACATCTGACTTAAGTGATTCACTTCCATTATAAGATCTGGAATTATCTTCTGCTTCTAATACAGGTAAAGCCCTCCTTTTCTTTTTTCCATCTTACATGCAAACTCAGACCCTGTGTTGTGAGTTATATCCACAGAATGCAGAAAAGCTTCCATGCTACTTTATATATTGGAACTGAGCTTTCAGTCTCTAGCTCAGAGGCTGACCTCTAAGACTTTTCTATTACTTTCACTTCATAAAATAAGAGTATGATCTCATTTTAAAGAAACAAGTGATGGGTCAACTTCCTTTGCAACTGGCAGGTATATGACCATATAGCTTTCCTGAAAACCAGCCATTTATATTTTAAGGCCTGAAGTAACACTTCCCCTGAAGAGTTGTTGAGAGGTAATCTTTTTTCTTTTTCTTGAGAGATAATTTTTCTCAGCAGAACTGTTCAACAAAAGAGGCTATGTCATCAGCTTGAAAGTAAATTGATCTAAATGTGTTTTTCTCCTTTACACCTGAATAGTAGTTCCCTTGTGTATCCCTGGTATTTTGGCACTCCGTACAAGGAACTAAAATTCCCAATCTTGTAATAGGGTTCATTTTTTGTCACAGTTTCTAATTATCTATAAAATCCCCCCAATTCTCACTGCACTTTCCTTGTGTCCTGAGATTTTTTTCTTTTACATGAGTCACAATGCTATCCCCATATGTCCACTAATACTATCCTGCTTATAAAATTTGCAGCCTAAAAGCACTATTTGCCATGACTTATTCTCTTTTCAGTTCTACTGAGATCATTTTCTGTAAGAAAAGACAATTCAATCATTTTATTGCTTTATACCTTGAGCACTAAAATAAAAGCAGTTGAATAGTTTTTCAGGCATTTCTCACATTTGTTAGATACAATTGCTGTTTTCTTCAACCATGCTGTAAAACTCTATTTTAGCTGAGCACATACCAACCTAATCTTACGCAATTTCAAATTCATCAGCTTTTCTAGGTTCTTTTGTTTTGAATAGTGAGGCTGCCTTATAGTTTTAGTTTGACATGCTAACTTTGTGTTATTTTAATTCAAATGGAATTTTTCCCAGATATATTCTATGTATCTGAAAGATACCCTCTAGTTCTTAAGGAAGTAGAATACTAGAACATATGACACAGGCTTACTTGACTTCTCCTTCAGTGTGTTTAGAAGACAATACGTGAGTGGGAGGGTAAAGACTTTGCTATCTATAATACCTTGCAGAAGTGGTAAAAAAAAAAAATTGAAGAACACCAGCAAAAGACAATTTTCCATTGAACTCAGGGAAGAAATTTTATCATAAGCCACTTCTAAAGGTACAAATCAAAATTACAGTACCAGTTGAAGTTCACTTCAGCTCGGTGTCCTGGAGCTCCCAATTCAAGGTGCAAATCCAAAAGCTATACTTAATTTGGGATTATACCATGGATGACAGAATAAAAGCTCCTGTGAATTGATTTGCTAAAAATTTTTCAGGTGGTTTATTTCCCAGTTCTTTCTAAATATTCATTTGTTAAATACTGATTATCCACTCTATAAGGCTTGACTTTTCTCACACTGGATTTCTCAACCTTGGCAGTGTTGATGTTTTGGGATGGTATCTTTGGTTTGAGGGGCTGTCCTATGTACTGTAGCATGATCAGCAGCATCCCTGGCCTCCATTCATTATCCCCATAGCACATCTCTATACCAGTAGCATCTCCCAGGTGTGACAATCAAAAGTGTCTCTGGACATTGTCAAATGTCCACTGGGAGACAAAACAGACGTTGCTTCAGAACCACTCTACTAAATCAAAATCTTTGCCTCTCAGAAAAGATCTGGGAATTATTTAAAGCTGCTAAGTGTCACAGAAACTAAGCTAAATCAGAAAAAACTAGAGTTAAGAATGATGATTTCTATATATTAGGCACTAGATCATAGAACATTGAGTTCTATTCACACGGACATATTCCTGTTGGCTGGGCTACTTCCTACTCTTTTCATTTTGAAGATTAAATAAAACAGACAGATACATAACAGAAGATGGAGCCAGACAAGAAGGAAGTCAGTGATAGAAATTTTAAACAATCTGATTTCTAAAAAATTACTGACATTTCAACAGATGGAAGATATGTTTACTGCTTGTTTTCTATGTATGGATCTAGGCACTATTACATATATGATATAACAATTAATTGGAAAAGCCTTAGAAAAATGAGAATATTTTGATACATTATTTTGGAATTCTAAGTATTTGTGTAAAACTGTTCAGTGTGTTATACAGACAGAACAAGTTAAGAGGCTTTACTATTATAGCTCAGTTATATTCTTTGAGTATATGATTCACAGGAAATGATACAGTTTATTGTCCCTCTCATTTCAAATTCTTACAACATTTCTCTAAACCTAAAAGTTGAATGAGTCCCTTCATGATATGCCCTTCCTTTGATAAGCTTATATTACTGGAACCATGACTTATGACCTGTTTTCATTCATCAACTATATGGCCAAGTAAACACACATTGTTTATGATTTAAAAACATTCTATCAAATGTTTAGTAGGCTGGTAATCAAAGAAAAATATCCATCACTTTTTGAACACAGTAAGGCTCTTACCTACAAGCAACATTTGGATCAGCATTTCTTGAAAGTAGTAGTTCTACACACTTTAAAATCTGTTCCTCTGAGCCATGAGCAGAACATGCAGTTATCAAAATAGTCTGTTTATCTATAGTGAATAGAAAAGTGAGGAAAAACCCACATCAAGAAGTGTATCTGACTTATTTTACTATTCAAAAGATTCTAAATATTTACTGCACTCCTAAAATTCTATAACCTATTCTCAAATCTCTTGCTCTTAGTAGATAACTTGTCTTCCTCAACCAAAAAACGAGGCCAAGGATGAACTGCCTTAACCCCGAAAGTATACTTACAATTCATTTTTTAATTTCCTTACCCTATTCCCATTTCTTCAGAGAATAGGGAAGTGGTTCAGAGCATGGACTCTGTGTAAAGATACTGCCTGGAGCTGAACAGTTTCGGGTTGCTTAAAATTTGCCTTGCTGAACTCATGGTTGAAAAACAAAGATTGATATTCTCAGATTTAACTTCCTTACTTCTCACTCACTTGACAGCTCACTGAGATCTGGTTTATATCCAAACCATCCTTGTGAAAATGACCTAACTGCTACATCTACTGGCTTCTTTTCAGTCCCTTTCTACTTGGATCTATCTGAGCTCACCCTGTTCCCTAAAACTCTTCCTTCCCGAATTCCTATGGCAGCAGCAGAGATCAGAGAAGATAGAAACACAAAAACATTTTTCAAGTAAGAACTAGAGAATTCAAAAATAGGTCATGGCAGCCATAGTTTATATTAGTGGTTCAATACTGATTGAGTCTAAGGATTCTAAGTGCTAGTTCTACCACTGATAAACTGTGACTCCAGTGATACATTAGTATCTCAGGAGACCTGAATTATAGATAGGATAGTATCTGTCCTCTTTACCTAATGGATATTGTGGGATACAAGAAAGAATTTATGTGAATATGCTGTGAAAAATGTAAGGTATTTAATAATATTAAGGTATTCCTTTCATTATAAGAAGCAGAGAAAGAAAACTGTTAATTATTTTTGAGCAGAATATTTTATACACTTTCAAAAATCTCATTCTTAAGTATAGCTCTCATTTGGGTGATATTTTAAAATTATGTAATAAAAAGAGAAACCTGTCACAGCAGCAGATTAAACATAAAATTGTCAATGAGACAGGAATTTATATGAAATATATATATAAGAAAACAGAATAAAAGTACTTTTATAAATACCTAATATAGGAACAAAAATAATGTAAAAATTAATTCCAAAATGAAACCTATAGCTGAATTATGAAAATAATTTAATTGCCTATTGAAAGCATGTTATTAAAAAGTCATCAGTAATTTAGTAATAATAATTAAACTGGATTTACACATATATTCTTATTTTTCAAAAGCACTCAAAGCAGTACTGAGTAGAAATTATTTAATAACAAAGACAGAAACAGTATGGAGTCAACAAACTATCTTTGAAAGAAGTTTAACTAATATGATTCAGAGTTAAGTTTTAAATTCTTAAGACTGGTTTTCCTTTAAAAATAACCAAGCCTTCTAGCATAGAAGTTAAAGGTATATAATAACATAACCAAGTTATAGAGACAATATAAATGGAATCTACTTCTTTGGAAAAAGAGTTTTTCCAAAAAAAATCCATGGTTTCTAGTTTGATTTTGTGTGCTAATTACATAATAAAACTAATAGGAAGGTTTTTTTTTTTTAACTGCTTTTTTTTTAACTTTGCATAATAGCTGCAAATCAGCTGGGAATTAAGAAAATTATAGTTAACATAATCAGTTAGGTTACCTGAAACATTTTACCCTTATTTATTTTTTTTCAGGACAAAGGTATATTTTAAAGTGAATATATGAAAACAGAGCAGGGAAGTATATATCACCATCCTTAAACAGAATTAAGCTTCTAAACAAAGAAATATACAAAGTAAATATTCACATATTATAAATGTTTAAAACATCTTACCCTTATTAAAGCTTGCATTAGCACCTCTGTCCAAAAGAACCTGAACCAGCTCTGCATTGGAAATGCTAGCGGCATACATGAGGGGAGTCCATCCATACTGAAAGCTGGAATCCACACTGATGCCTGTCAATATAAAAACAAAGATTTTAATAACTTCCCCCACCAAAATTTAAAAAATCAGTTATCTTAATATGCTAAAATTACTGTGCACAGTAACATACACCACGAACTTTATAAGAGAAGGGAATATTTTGGTAATAATGGCTTCAGCAAAATAAAAAAAGTTATATCTGGACTTTAATAAAGTCAGTTCATTTCAGTTTCAGCATAGGCACTGTACTCTAAGAGATCTGATCTGACCAAAGTTTTATCACATATTATATAAAATATCTATGTTATAACAGGTTTTACATGCTACCTCTTTCTCTCTAGGGGAGTCAGAAAAGGTGTCACAGAGGTAAAATATCTTTTTAATTAGAATATTATCATACATCTCTATGGTGACAAACACTACATACATTCCTGAGATACCCTCAACTTCTTTAATACAAAACTTATCCATGGGTGAGTGGCCAAACATGGGGCTAAAAAGGTAGGTTAGGGTTAGATTATGAAAGCTCTGTTAAGACATACAGACTGTACTTTGTGATCCAAGAACTGAATTCAGTATACATGTATTATAAAGACAACACAGGTCCACTGTTCAGAGTGGGACAGAAGGTAGGGAGACCAGTTATGAGGCTAGAAGTCTATGTAAAAGGGGTAGCAAGAGCAATTGAGAAAGGGAAAAAGGAATATCAAAGGACATTCCAAAGGCAGGGTCATCAGAATTTAAAATTGCTTTGAGGAGAAGGAGTGATGGAAAAGAACAAGCCAAAAATGACTATCGGGTTCTGCCTTAGACAAATAAATGACAAGCAGTGAGCTAGAATAAGGACAGATGAGAGGTAGGGTAAAGCTTTAAATTACCAATACGCAGAATGTGGTAGGAAGGGATAGATAATTGTTAAGAAAGGATGAGAGCCAGCTGATCTTAAAATTCTTAAACCATTAATGGTACAAATCTTTGGAATCATCTGACAAAGGTATCTTTGTACTTACATCTATGTATTTACTACTGTTTTTTTAAAAAAGAATTTAAAAAATTTTTGTAATTAAAAACAAAGTTTAAAAGGTTGACTATTTTACAAGGAGGCTCTTTTCAGGCCCTAATCCTTCAGGAGCCTCCATTACTTCATTGCACCTAGTCCCACCACTCCGAAGGAAAACTCTTTTCTAAAACAAATTTCTGCCTATTCCATCCCACCTAACACTATGCATCCTCCTGCATGTGTTCATATTAGGCCTCTTTCAATTATTCAAATTTTATTCAATTTCATTTTTCAATTACAGATTCAAGTTCCGCTGTCCACAAAGTCACACAGATCCTTCTCTTTTGTTATAACAGATATTTACTTAATGCCTATATGTTGTAAGACCTTTATGTATTCTTTCATTTTAATCCCTTGCAAAACCCTTTGATATAATGCAGTTCCACTTTTAAAAGGGGGAAATTGAAGCTTAGGAAGGTTTGGTAACTTGACCAAAGATCACAGAGCCATCAGGTGGAAGGGCTAGTAATCAAACCCAGAACTGTTTTGTTTCCAAAATTACTTATCTTCCACTAAACAGCGCAGCATCTCTATTATATGAGAAAAACATTTTACAATCTCATTTAACTATTTTATGAGTGAATTTGTATCTACAAATAGGTGGTATATGCCTGTTACTCCTTTGGATAATTTCAATCATTATTATCCACAAATCTGTGTTAAGGTAATTTTTAAAAAAAGGCATTTAATCCACAGAAAAACGTCCTAGGACCCAGGACAGAGTTATGATGTTTTTAAAGAAATTGATTCTCAAACCTCATTACACATACCCATACAACCAGCAGAAGAAATAAAATGTACATAACTAGAAACAGTTCTGGAGAAACATATAATATTATAAACAAATAAATGCTGAGAAAAGTGAGTGAGAAGTATCAGAGTGAATAAGAATTATCAGAGTGGGATAAGATTAGTCAGAGGAGAACTCTTGAAGGAAGTGGCAGAGCTGACGACAGGTAACAGGGTGGCATCCCAAACTGGACAGTAGAAGAAGAAAATAAAGAGAACTGCGAGTCAAGTATGATATGCAGGATATTTTATATATCAACATTTATATGCTTCCATTAGTAAAGCAACTCAAACCTCTTAAAATAAGGAACGCTTGTGAATTAAGACCACTGTGTTAGGTTGAAATTGTCTCTTAACTCTTACCAGAATCTAGGAGCTCCTCCACCAACGGAATATTTCCTGTGCTCAATGCTTTCTTAAATGTTTCATTCTTTTCTTCAGTGGGTAATGGCCCCTTTAATTTCTAGAAAAGCAGAAAGTTAAAAAAAAAATTCTTGTTACACATATTTCCATTTCCACTGCATCAGGAAACAGTGTTCGGTTTTAGGTGTATCTTTCTGCGGGAAGGGAGGCAACATATAAGATTTGTAAAGACTTGTCTTAAACTATCTTGGGTAAAGACAGATCCAAACCCAAATGAAAAGGCACATCGGCGCCCTAAAGAAGCGAGTTTGATGTAAAGCTCAGTAGGGAGACGAGAGGAAAACCCTGTGGGTTTGTTTGGAGTCCAAAAGCCTGTATTTCCACCGGAAGACAGGGAAACACAGGCAGGGAAGTAGAAGGTTTCAAGAGGCAGGGGTCTTCGAGGACCAAGGGAGGCTGACCCAGGTGTGGTCGACACAAGGCCTCCACTGCTACCTGAGCTCTCCGGTCCAAGTACCCAATCTCCCAGCCGTCATCCTCGCTGTCGCTACTCTCGCCTCCTCCGGCCACCGCCGGGCTTCGTAGCGTGCTCATCGCCATTGCAGCCCCGCCGCACCCCGCTCCGGGTCCGCCCGCTCCCCAGCGCCTGCGCACTGAGGGAGCGCCTGCAGCTGCGCGGGAAGGTGCGACGCGCGCCCCGCGGGGTGGGGGGTGGGGGACTTTGAGTCCTCAGGCGCAGGCGCGTGGCTGTGAGCCCCACTTCTCGCGGGCGCCGGCCTGTGCAGTGATCCCGGGATGTGAGGCCCTGGCCTGTGTGGTGGAATCTGGCCGGCCCGCAAGGTTCGCACGCTAAGTACCTGGCCGTGCTTCCAGTTACTTTCGGTGATGCACTCTCGATTCTTAAGCAAGAGCAGGTGTCGGTCTTCATCTCTGGCATCTGCTCCCTACCAAACCCATGGTCAAACATACGACCTGTGGGAGAACGCTGTTGGCCAGCATCCCCTTAGGAGCACTACCTTTATACTCTAGAAGCCATCGGACAAATGGGAAATGACAAAGGGGCTGGGAGAAAATGCCAAAAAAATTCTTCCTTTAAATGTCATGACATCTCAGATCTCAGCCTAGATTGAGAAACTTGAAACCATCACTTGGTCAGCTAGGCAGTGTAGATGCCCTAAAGGAAAAAGTTAGTCAATAAAGGTGAGTGTGGAGGGGAGAGTGGATCAAAAGAGCTAGGAAGAAGAAATGATTTCAACATTCAAAGAACAAGGAAACAACAATATGAACAACTGCAGCCTAAACTCAAATTCATTTTTCTGCATATGACTTGTAGGTGAAATGTTGGTAACACATTATTTTTGTCAACATAGGAAAGTAGGTCCATCAAGGAATAGGGCATATATGTACTTCAAGATGATTTAAAAGGAAAGGAGCCACTCACCATTCTTTGTAAATTTTTGCAGTAATTTTTTTTCTTCAGGAATCTTTGATGTAAGATTTTGAAATTATTCACTTCAGAGACTTTCATAGATAAGTAAGTAGTTTGTTTATTTGAGGGCCACACTTGTTTTTCTAAATGTATTCATTCAATAAATGTTATGGATCATTGGGCAGGAGAACTATGTTTGGAGAGATAACATCAAAGACAAACAAAGCTGCCTCAGGGAGCTCTTAATTAATGAGAAAAGGCGTTAAGCTAATAAATAATAAGATTGCAATTATAGGTGCCCTAGGGGAAATGAGGGCACCTCCTTTAGGCCTAAGGGGGTGTCCCAAATGACAAGAAGGAGACAGATATAAAAAAGTGGGAGAGAGCTTTCCTGGCAGAGCAGATGGCTAGTATGAAGGTCAAAAGGCTGGAAGAAGCTTGAATTTAGACCTGGGTCTAGGGTGGGGCAAGTGAGGTCTCTAGGGAGCAGAATTTAAGGAGGCAGTCACTCTCAAAACCCTGCAAGTCCTTCTAGTTTGCAAGCTAGATGCCTCACTTATTTCACCTTCATCCTTGCCCTTCTTGGACCAGAAAGGAGGACTGAATCTGGGCCATAATAAGGGAAGGGGTGTGTATGATGAGAGGCCTTAAGTAAGGAGTTTGGATTTTAATCTAAAATGTCCTTAAACTAATGAAAGATATTGGCCAGTGTTTGTGTGTGTGTGTGTGTGTGTGTGTTTACTTAAAGACACATTCTTTTGTAGAGATTTTTGGTTTCAGCATGTGGCTGAGTAGCAGTGCCATTTACTAAGATGGGGGAAGACCAGAGGATAAACTGAAATGAGCATCTCAAATTAATGTACTCAAAACCGAACACTCAAGGGTAGCTGTCAGGTGGGTAGTTGGATGTTCAAGTAGGACACTCAGGAGAAGGCTGGTCTTGGAGATATAAATTTCAGAGTTATCCACATACAGTTGAATTTTAAAAATTTTGGAATTTAACTAGCAGGATTTTTTGTAAAAACAGATACTATGGAATTGATGTTTGTGTCTCCCGTTCCCGAAAACTGCATATGTTGAAACCTAATCCCCAGAATGATGGTATTTGAAGGTGGAACCTTTGGGAGGTGATTAGATGATGAAGGTAGAGCCTTCGTAAGTGGGATTAGTACCCTTCTGAAAGAGACCCCAGAGAGCTCCCTTGTCCTTTCTACCATGTGAGGACTCAGGAAGAAGCTGAGCTTTTCCCAGACATCAAATCTGCCAGCAACTTGATCTTGGACTTCCAACTTCCTGAACTGTGAGAAATAAATTTATGTTATTTATAAGCCACTTAGTCTGTGTTATTCTGTTTTAGCAGCCTGAACACCCTATGACAATATAAGATTATTCTGAAATTTATGTGAAATGGCAAGGAAACAAAGTAGCTAAAATAGTTTTGAGTAAGAAGAATAAAGGAGGAGGAATTTGTCAGCTTGATTTTAAGTCTTACTATGTAGCTATAGGAATCAGGACTGTGGAATTAGAGAAGGGACAGACACATAGGTCAATGGAACAGAACAGAGAACATAGAAATAGTCCCACACAAGCACCTGGATTTTTTACAAGGGTGCAAGAGTAATCCAATGGAGGAAGGATCATCTTCAGCAAATGATGCTGGATCAACAGGATAGCCATAGGTGAAAATATGAACCTATCTAACTCTCATGTCCTTTACAAAAAATAATAAAAGATAGATTATTTAAATATATACCAATTTTCATAGCAACGTTATTCCTATGGGCCAAAAAGTAGGAACAACCCAAATGTCCATCACCCCTGATGGATGGATAAACAAAAGGCAGCATATCCATGCTGTATGTATTAGTTTCCTAGGACCATTATGACAAATAACCACAAACTAAGTGTCTTATAACAACAGAAATTTATTCTCTTGCTATGCTGCAGGTTAGAAATCTGCAATCAAGGTATCAATAGTGCCATGCCCCCTCTGAAGACTCTATGGGAGTATCCTTCCTTGCCTCTTCCTAGCTTCTTGTGGTTGCTGGTAATCTTTGGCTGGTAGATGCATTACTTTAATCTCTGACTCTGTATTTACAAGTCCTTCTTCTCTGTGTATCTGTGTCTCTGTATATCTGTGTGCCTAAATTTCTGTCTTCTATAAGGATGTCAGTCATACTGGATTTATGGCTCACCTTAATTCAGTATGACTTCATCTCAACTTGAGGACATCTGCAAAGATCCCATTTTCAAACAGGGTCACATTCACAGGTTCTGGGTGCATGTGAATTTTGGGAAGACACTATACAACCCAGTGTGCTATATATATATCATTTAGCATAATGTTTTCATGATCTACATATAGCATGTATCCATCCTCCATTCCTTTTTATGCTGAATATGTATGCTTTGACTTCAGAAGTGATTCCAGGAGGTGGCAAGATTCATTAGAAGGCTACTTTAATTGTGAACTGGAGAAGTGACAGGGTAAAGGAGAGGAGAGGAAAATTTCTGGTGAATTAGAATCAATAGGATTTGGTGACTGTATATGAAAGATGATGGGGGGTAGAGAGGAGTTAAAGCTGGTGTGATAACAACACAGGAAGAGGAAAACATTTTGAGGAAACAAGCAAACATTTTGTTCTGCCCAGAGACAGTCAGAAATGCCTAAGGAATATCCATGTCCAGATAAGGTCCAGAGCTCCCCAGAGAGGACTGGCTATCAGTTCAGCTTTAGAAATCAATATCTTAAGAGGTAATAGACATACTGAATCAAAGATACAGTAATAATAAATTCATTTGATAGTACTTTCTATATGCCAGTCACTGTTCTAAGGACTTTACCTATATTAAGTCACTTAATAGTCACACAACCCTACTGAGGTAAATATGATCTCAATTTTACAGAAGGGGAAATGGAGGCTTAGAGGGGTAAAGTCATCTGCCCTGGTGGCAGAGCTGGGATTCAAATGCAGGAAACAGCTCTGCAGTCCATGCTTTTAATCATTACTATCTAACGCTTATGTAGCACTTCACTGTGCCTGACACTTCTTAAGCATTTTACATCCATTCATTAGTGTAATCCTTGTTATAACTTCTTGAGGTAAGTGCTATTATTAACTTCATTTTACATCTGAAGAACCTGAAGTACAGAGAAGTTATGTAAACCACCCAAGATCATCCCCTGCTAAGAATTCACAACACGCTCTTCCACTCTAGAATGGGGCTCAGGTTTAACTTAGAAAGTGTGATACTCACAAAAGTGCTCTCTCACTGGAGGGATTTGTACCGTGTGTGTTTCACTGTCCTATTGTAGTAGCACTGTCTCTGAGGCACTGCATTCCAAAGCAAATTTCATCTTCTGACTAGACTCAGAGGAAACCTTGATTCATTTACAGGTTAATCACAACCTTCATTCCTGTCCAGATAAGAAATCAATGGGTATTTGGTTTTGTCTGAAGAGATTTGGGAATTCCCCCAGGGTGACTTCCTGGAGTAGGTCAGAAAGCCGTCTACCCACTTTGTTAATGACTGCAATGTTCTGCTTGGTTCACTGATGACAGGAGTCTGGTAAAACAAAGAGGTCAAAATCCCAGCTGGATCCGAGAAATAAATGTTACTCAGATGTAGGTTCTCCTTAGTTCCTGGGTGTTGTTCCTTTCTTCCTTTCTTATTTATTTATTTTTTTACTTTTTTTGTTTAAAGCTTTGACTCAGACTTTAGTGATGTTAGCTAATACAGTTCATTTTACCATTACACATGATGATTCTGTATTTTGTGGGAAACTTGTTTTAAATTTAATGTTATCACATTTAAAAAACTTTTGCTTATTTTCTGTAGTATTATGTATGGTATTACTTTCAATAATAGGAAAAAAATTCTGTTGGGTTCCTTAATTCTTAATCCTGTCTAGAATCCATTTGGGTTAACTGCCTCTTTTAGAGATAATTTTAGAGGCATAAAATGTTGAACAGATTTTTTCCATTATTAAAATTCATGTGTACAATACAGCCAAGGGGGAGATAAGCAATTTTTAAAATTATTAAATAGCATTAATTGATTCCACAAATACCTACTGTGCTCTTAGTGTATTTTCTAGGCATGGAGGATGACATTGTAAGGAAGACAGGCAATATCCTTGACCTCAGAATGTTAATAGTATAGTAAAAGAAACA